CCTTTTCTAGTTTTGAAAGGTTTTGCCTAGTTTACTGCTAGCCAGGAATGTTTGTTCATCAGAAGTCACAGGTGGGTAGCAGTAAGTGTATTATTGTAATTGCTCTTATCCAAACTGCTGTTTGCAATGCTGGGGATCCAACCATAACCCGTGCAAGAAGGGCTACTAAGCTGGGTCTCAGCACTGCAAACTTAGTTTTAAAAATTGTTACATTTCCCCTTGACCTCAGAAACATAGTTTAAAGCTTTTTTTCTTGTTTTCACTTTGAATGACTAACTTTTTCTACCATATTGAATAGCCATTAGCTTTTAGTCTGAAGGAATGTGGATCCAAAGATAGTCCCCATTAGATGAAAGAAAATCTATAAGAGCTGTACCTCCTGGGGCTTAGTTTTCCTAGTGGCCTAATGATCTAAAGCACAGGACTGTACCCCCATGAGAAAAAACTGTAGGGGAGTCCCTCAGCATGCAGAAATATTATTTAGAGAAATATGTACAGCATACAGATAACTAACTTTTGTGCTGTACAACTATTAATCAAATACTCTGATTCAGGGAATTCATTTTATGAAATCTTTTGTTGTTTTGAGACAGGGTTTCTTTGTGTAACACTGGCTGTCCTGGAACTCACTCTGTAGACCAGGCTGGCCTTGAAAAAGATCTTGTCTGCCAGTGCCTCCTGAGTGCTAGAATTAAAGGCGTGTGACACTACTGCCCTGCTAAATTTTTAAGTTTTAAAATCACTTACCAAAATTATAAACCTTATATATTTTGTGTATCTTTAAATTAGAGTTTGCTGAAATAATTAGACATATTATATTTAAAGCACCATTTTTAAAAAGATTTTCTTCAAAGAAAGCGTATAAAAATAACTTACATGGGTGATGGCTGCAAATCTCCGTGAACATACCAAACCCTCATAAATTATACAAATAATTGAATGACACGTGAATTATGTCTCAATATATCTGTTTTCACTACACAAAATGTGTTATTAGGGCAAAACTATATAATTTCAATTTATAGTAATAATTAAAGAAATTATTAGCATTAACAAACATTTAAAGATTTAGAAATACAAAATTATGAATGGCTTAAAATAATTTGTGTTCTTATTCAGTAGTAATATGTTTATTACAGAAACTTCAGAAACCATAAGTAAAATTTTTTAAAAATGCGTGAGGTGTTCAATATCCCAGCCATGTATTTATCCCCAAATCTTCTGTAGTATCTGTTTTCTTTGTGTCCATCCTGTGCTTTGCTAGCTCTTATTCCTAGTAAATCATTTTTCGTGACTAATTTAGGGAACTAGTCAGGTGTAAATACCTTTTTGCAATAGTAGTTTACTAGAAGCATTTGCCTTTCCTCTCCTGGATCATGAGAGGTATACATGAAGGTGAGTAGGAACTGAAAAGAAATACCATAAAGATATATAGTAGATGGGATATAATTTTAAAAATTTGCTTTCAAGCATTTATGGATTTAAAATGAAAAGTAAAATTTTTGAAAGTATTGACACATGAGTTCTTGGGTCAGTGGAATATTTTTACCCTTTAAAAGACTCTTATTATAATATGTAGCATTAGCTTTCTAACAGCTCAAATTGTTCACAACACCATTTAAAGATAAGTTCAGTATCAGGCTTTGAGTTTTCTTTTCTTTTCTTTCTTTCCTTCTCTTTTTTTGTAAATATTAAGACCTGAGTACAAAATGAGGGCTGTATTGTGGATTAAGTGAAGTATCTCAAGGCTGTGCCGTTCTGATAACTGAACCCGGAGTGACCTTTCTCAGACACAATTACAGAGCTGTATGTTTTTCCTTTAATTTCATCAGGGGTTTAATTAGTATACAAATAAAACTTCCCTTATCTTCCTTTCTACCTAATTGGCTTGTCTTCGCTTATATATGAAGTATGTGAGAGTGGGCTGTAATTAGGGTGACCATGTTAACCTTTTTCCTCCAATGCACTGTTGCCTAAAGGCCTCAAGGCCTAAAAACAGCGCTTTGGATTATTGCTTTGCAATCACTCTGGCTGTCCCATAGGTTTTCTCATGAGCAGAAGGGCTTTGGGTGCTGCAGGTTCCCACTGCTTAACAGGATCTTCATTCTTTTCCCCACTAAATGTTTATTGATTATCTCGCTGTTCCAGGCTCAGCCTCCAACAACTTAATATCAGGTGACAGTCAGGAGAGTTCTCCAAGTAATTAGAGTTGAGCATTGGGGGAACAATTAGGAGCAGAGTTATTAAACTTGATTTATCCTATTCTCTCCTGAACAGTTTCTTGGATATCAGAACATCACACTTTCACAATCTACCCTGGTTGAGAAATTAGTGGCTAACCTGCTGCTTATCACTGTTGCCTTGCTGCCCAGAGGCACACCCTCTTGGTTCCAGTCATTCAGCTGGAAATATTAGAGTCCATAAAATTTATTGTGGGTTTTAATTAGGGAATCTGAACCAGAGAAGAGAAAAGCACAACTTAAAAATTCACAAGTAGGGTGTGCATTTCACATGTGAGATAGGTTTATATGCAAGTATATGGTATATATAAAATTAGTTTTCTTTAACTGAACCTCAGAATTTTTAAAAGGATCACAATTTTTGATCAGAAAGGTTAATGTTAAGAAGACATTTTTGACCCACTTTTTATAATTTTGTCTTTTACACACATTTGCATGAACTTTAGGGCCCATTGATATTTATAGATTCCTTGGTTAGGTCCTCCAACTCTTTAAAACAAGAACTCCATGCCTAAAAGTAAAACAACAGTGTTCTATTAAAAAAAAAACTTTTGTGTTTTTATTTTCACATTCAAGCATCTCTGTAACTTTGTGTTTCTTTTCTATACTCCTGTGATGATATAAGCTTTAGAGGGGTCTGATGGCCTATCATAGCTCTTAAGAGATGAACTGGAAAGCACAGCCAGAGACAGTTGGTATATAAAGCACTGATGCTGGGTTCTGTCTTCTGTCAGTGTATAACATAGATTGCTGAACAAACCATTGTGTTTGAAAATGAAGCAAACGGATGAGCTCAGATTGGACAAGCCAGGCTGGAAACAGTATGTTAAAGCCTGGACAGCCCCTTCACAAGTGGGCACTCCAGTCTTAGGACTTACTGAGCAAGACAGTTTTAATGGATTAGCACATATTCATCATTTCCTTTGGAAGAAGAGTTAGAGCTTTATGCTAAGTGGCCTTTTTTAATTGCTTGGGATAGATCAGAAATACTAAGTTTAAACCAAATAGCTTTTTTTTTTTTAAACAAAGAATCTCTTGATAGTTCAATGCCTTTAAGTATCTTAACAAAATTACTAGAATTGGAATGGTTTTTTAAAAAATCTATTCTTTGTTGTCTTTAAACATTGTTTGAATATTTCCTTGGCAAAACATTCTTTTTCAAATTTTTAAGATAAATTAATTTTTTAACATCAAAAATAAAGACACAGCTTCTATAGTAATATATAATGTTTCAATACATGTATACATTATATAATGCTTAAATCAGATCAAACACATCTGACTTCCAAGTACTTATCATTTCTTTGTAGGGAAAATATTCAACTCATTTTTTAGCTTTTAAAAATATATGCTATATTGTTTTTACTTATCATCACCTTCCTGCACAATAGCCCACTGGAACTTCTATGTAACTATCATGCAGCACCCATTGATCAACTTTGGGGTGTTCTTAAAGGCCCATTAATATTAAAGTTTAAAAATAAATTTAAGTATCTAATACATAACCATTGTTGCTTTTTACTTATGTTTTGATGCTTGTATGTGTAGTTATTGATTGACTGAAAGTGAATTACTGAATTTAAAAGCTTGCTGCATTTTTAAACACCTGATTTGACTGGATTGCTTTAAATTTCTTGTCATTTGGGGTGAATTGCTTTAGCTCACATAAGTGGCTTAGATTTATAATATCTTTGTGACTACATTAAGAAGAGAGTTTCAGACATGAACCTGAATGTATCTCTTCTTCATGGGAATTGTGAAACACAGCTGTGGATATTCATGTGTGGCTAAACTAGCAAAAGGAATAAAGCAGAAGTGTGTGCAGTCAGTTGTTTGGCTGACTGGTCAACAAATTTAATTGTAAAAATCTGTTCAATAAGCTTATTTTAGAAATTTTAGAAGGCAAAGGATGAACAGATTTTTGATGATCAGGGGATCATTTGATTCCTATACCATTTTACAACCTAGAATTTTAAATGTGGTCTAGAAAATACTCCTTAAAATTGTTTCTGATTCTAATACTTTCTCCCTTAACCCTTTAAAAAAGCTGTGCAATTGCATGCTGGAATTCCTGTGCTAAGTTGATGTTTAAAGAACCGCGAATCCAGTTTGTAATTTCTGTGATTAGGAAACATTTGTAAATGCTAAATCATTATGAACACCAGTATCGAGCGTCTCGTTAGTTAGAACATGCTGATCATACTTATGTAGTTGTCCTTGATGTGGAAGTTATTTGTTAGGAAGCAAATAAAAATTACTTCTGAGTCCCATTTGCCTACTGAAATGTGTAGAACAATCTGCCACAGACATAAAAACATGAGCCCACCATTTCTTCTGGTTCCCTTCCTTCACCCATACACTCCTGAGGGCATCTAAAAGCTCTTAGTTATGTCAAGAGTTAAATAGAATCTAACCATCATGTGCTTTGTCCCATCAATCCTTTATTTTCATCATTAAAAGCAAGCATTTATGGCTTCAGATTTCTGTAATAAGAAATTTTTAGTAATAATACCATTTGTTTGTTTTACTTTGCACAATAGAGTTGCATTTTGTAGCCAAATATTCCTCAGAACTGTGTAGTTCTCATTTCTAATTAGCAGGTATGTAAAAATTTTGCAGAAAATTTGTTAAACCTTGCTGTGTAATGACCCAGCTCTCCTTCTCAGTCAGGCTGTGTTCTTCTCTGTCTAATAGCCTATGGCATAAATTGAAGTTAATTATCAGGACTGACAAGTAGCTCTGTTTTCTGTCTGCTCGCAGAGTCTCTCCGAGGCAAAGATGGAGCTGAGAAGGAAAGATCAATCTCTACGTCAGCTCAATAGACATCTTACCCAGCTGGAGCAGGACAAGCGTCGACTGGAGGAGAACATCCATGATGCCGAGAGTGCCCTCCGCATGGCAGCCAAGTGAGCATCTGGACCGTGGGGAGATCACTTAAAACAGACAAAAGATCAATTCTTACTTTCATGCTCTGGGTTTTAGCCCTGGATAATACAGTGCTAGAAAACAAAAGTGCAGCTGTCTGTCTTTGAAATTCTCTGATATACCCTCAAAAAGAAAACTCTTAACACACTAAGTGTATATTTTATAGAGAAGCCTCAGAAAGCATAAGCTTCTGTTATATAGCCTCAAATTATGCATATCTGGTGCTCAGTGTTGGTATTACACGTTTGCAACCACATTTTCATTAATGTGGAACGTAAGACTGTTTATTTAAAAGTTTCACATAGTTATGTTATTTGCTTCTATTATTTATTCTTTATCACCTTCTGCTCCACTGACTCCACCCCTGATTTTGCTTTGTAGAGTCTACTGATATTACAAGTAATATTTCCATGAGGAGATGTTGATATACAATTAACATGTGTATGTTAGCCTTAAATTGCAGCTAAAACAGGTTGATCATGGGAATCCATTTAAGCTTATATATGTATATGCTATAGTATATTTAATAGAAAAATACCATTTCAATGTGGATAACTGTGTAAATGTAGAGAATGCTTTATCCCATTACCATGTAACAAGTGGACATACATATACTTTGAAGTTCAACAATTCTCTTAAGCTTTTTATTGTTCCCTATAACAAGGTTTATGAACTAATTTAAGACAGGCTATTGTTCAACAGCATAATGAAAAGAATTAAAGAAACGTGATTCTAATTGATTCACTGTTCTGTTTGGAGTTTTTAATTCATGAAAATGAAAAAACATTAATTAAAAGTTTTTGAGACAGACTCCTGTTAGATACAAACTGTGAATTGTTACTATACTCTATAAACTGCAGGGATAAGCCTGTAAATCATGGAGTAGGCATCTGCAGTCTTAGAATAGCAGTCACTATTGCTTCTGGGTTGATGACATCACCTATGCAAGGTGAGACAATGAATTCCAAAGTACAAATATTGGCTTGCTTGGATAACCACCAATAGTTTTTTTTAATTGTGCAGTTATATAACATTGCAGCTCCATATTAAATGTATATAGCTTTTATTTCTAAAAATATAAGTTTGGCTAACTTAGATTTTTTTGCCATCTTCTCTGTCTCCTCGCATTGAGTGAAGAAAGACTAGGCGCTTAACCCCGAGTCTCACAGTACACTGGGGTTCTTAGGTGTGTGGAAACAGGGTTGTAAAACCTCTGGATTCCTGTTGCGTTTTTACAGTGCTGCGCTTAACTCAGGATTCAGGTGTCTATGGCTTGTTTCCATGGGCACGGGATTTTATACAACTAAAGGAGACTGATTAAAACCTGGGATGTCATTATATCATTTACATTTCCCATTTCTACATTGCTATTAAAATCTAGTCTTTAGCATTTTCACTCAGAGTTTGATTTCATGATGAAAGCTGAATTAAATCCACAGGCTGAGAAGTGAACTTGTAACTGCACGAGTCTTGTCGGTCACAGAGGGTTGAATTTCATTGTGGCTGCATGAAGGGACTGTGAAGATAGGCCATAGTATTATGATTATTTTTGTTTTTTGGAGACAGGGTTTCTCTGTGTAGTTTTGGTGCCTGTCCTGGATCTCGCTCTGTAGACTAGGCTGGCCTTGAACTCACAGAGATCTGTCTGACTCTGCCTCCCAAGTGCTGGGATTAAAGGCGTGTGCCACCGCTGCCTGGCTAGGTGGTGGTATTTTACACAGCATCACCACTTACAGTATTTTGCTACCAATATGATTTAAAGAATGTCTTATTTTTTCAGGAAAATTTAAATTGTGAATAATGAATAATGTAATCATGGTTTCTTTATCTTTTCCATTCTTTTAACTTATGATTTCTTTCCCCCAGTTTAGGACAAGTGAGCATAAGAATTAAGTGTAAATGTATCAGTGGCTATGGTTATGTTTTACACTTTTTTCACATGTGTTTGGTGTGTGTGTGTGTGGTGCGTATGACGGCCATAAGTTGACACTGAATCTCTTTTGTGATTGGCCCCGACTCTATTTGTTGAAACAAGGTCTCTCATAGAGCTAGGAGCTCACCAGTTTCCTCTAGTCATGCTAGCCAATTTGCTCTGGGAGACTGTGTCTGCCTTGTGAAGACTGGGATTCTAGCCTGGCTGCCATGGCTTCCCATTGTGTGCTGGGGATCTGGACCCTTTCCCATTTGCCAGCAAGCACTTCATTCAGCAGGCCACCTCCCCAGCATCAAGTGCTATGCTTTTAAAGGGAGATCGAAGACAGCTGGGAATAGTGACTAGAATGGAAACAAATGTAAGAAGACTTGGGTTATACTCACAATTAATATTTTCTCTCTTTTTTCTAGAGACAAAGAATGTGTTGCTAATCACATGAGAACAGTAGAAAACATGCTTCATAAGGTATTACAAATTTTTAAAATCATTCAATTTCTGCTCTGATTATTCTGGTCATTATTTTATTAAGTGCAAAGTAGTTTAATTATTTTTGACCATCTTTTAAAATAAATTAGCAAAAACATACTTTGGAAATGACTGTGTACTATGTTGTCATTTGTTTTCTAGAACTCATTTTAGGTACTTGGTAAAACTATGAAAATTACGTTTTCTCTAAGCTGGTCTAAATGCACTGCAGTTACTTGTGGTCTTTACTGAGTGGTCCAAAGGCCACCACCATTCTCACCTGACCAAATACTGGACTGTTGTCAAACAACTGTCCATATGTGTACTCATGGAGAGATGGGATATATTGGCAATAGTTGTGTACCTTAGCCAGGTAATAAGTTATTCAAATGGAAATTTCTTACTTACAGGAACGTATTCTTAAAATGAAAAATCCATTTAACAACCTATTATTTTCAAAACTGATTGCTTTTATATTGTAAACTATGGCTTAATATGTAGTAATTAGCAGCACAAATGTGTTACATTAGTAAAAGTTGTTAGCTATTCATTGTGTAATCACTTTGAGTAAAAGGTATGGTCATTATTTAATCAAGAATTTTTTACACTTATTTGTTTATTCATGTACTGTGTGTGTGTGTGTGTGTGTGTGTGTGTATGCACACACACTCACATGGTACACTTATGGAGTCTAGAAAGCAACTTGTGGAAGTTCTTTCTTTCTTTCCACTATTTGGTTTCTGAGGATTAAACTTGGGTCATCAGGCTTGGTGACAAGTGCTTTTGTCCACCAAGTCATCTTGGCAGCCCCTCATTATTGAAAAGTAATATTATTTACATATTTGTGTTATTATCTAACTGACATTATATTGGAAATGCAGATATCTAATACTTTTAAGATATATGGAAGTAATGAATGACTAACAAGAATTTTAAAACCCTAAAAATTAATAAATTCTTCTCTCATATATTACATCCTAACCTCCTTCTATTTTCCTTAAAAACAACAACAACAAAAAAAAACAAAAAAGGCAGGCCTTCGAGGGATATCCAAACATAGCCTAACAAGATACAATAGGATTAGGCACAAACCCTCATATCATGGCTGGACATGGCAACCTACTAGGAGGAAAAGGTTCCCAAGAGCAGGCAAAAGAGTCAGAGATACTCCCCATTCCCATTGTTGGGAGTCCCACAAGAACACCAAGCTACTCAGCCATGCAGCGGACATAGCTCAGACCCATACAGGCCCCATATTTGTCCCTTCATATAACTAATACTTTTAAAGAAATGAAATAATAGCGAACTAGCCAGGGGTGGTTAGCACTCAGGAGATAGAGGCAGGTGGATCTCTGTGAGTTTCAGGCCAGCCTGGTCTACAGCGAGAGTGCCAGGACAGCCAGTGCTACACAGAGAAACCCTGCCTCAAAAACAACAAAGACAATAACAAAAAACCAAAACAAAACAAAAAAAGAAAAAATAATGAGCTAATATTTTAATACATTTTAACACTTACTGTATTCTTTGAAGTTTTGAAAATGACATTTTTAAATCACTAAAAATATTCTGGAAAAATCTAGTAGTCTGAGTTCTATTTTCATTTAGGATTCTTTAAACCGTGGTCTCTTTCTTTCCCCAGAGAGTTTAGCCTGTAGTGTAGTTTAATAGTCACACCAAGTAGGTGTGTGCTTCAGATCTGAAATTTAGATTTTCAGCAAAGTGTGTCTTAGATATTATTTGTATCTGCTGTGTCTTAGGATGGAAATGTCATATGTATAGCATGCCCCTTATATAGTTAGAATTGACTTTGAAATCTAATTGTTCAGCTCTCCAGATGGAAGAGCAATGTTAGGTAGAGCCTAACTTGTCCAATTGATGTGGATTCCAGGGAAAGCCATTGTCAATGTAAAGTGCAAATATTAGACCCTGTCCTTATGAAAATGGAAAGTGTCTATTTGAATATAACAAGACTAAAGGTAACAGGACAGCTGTAGTCACACAGTTCTTCAGTTTCTTTTTCCTTTTTGTCACACAAAAGAAGAATGTCTGCAGCACTGGTCTGATGCCTCCTACTTCAGATGCCGTAGAGAACTCTTGATTTATGGCTTTGGCAATTAACGCAGTGGTGTTTAACTTGTCAGTTACTTTTCAAGCTTGAAGTAAAAATTTTTAGAAGGCTATTGATAATTAGAGATAGTTATCTTTTTTGGGAAGTTCTGGATGAGAATGATTGGGTGTCAAGAGGGCCTTGAAGCTCTCAGAGAGGTAGCCATACCTATCCTTAGGCCACAGAGTGCCACATGGGTATTTTTCTCGTGTTTTTGAAGACTGTGTGGTGTAGCTTTATTTACTGCCTTTAACACACGGCTTAAGAGTATCAGTTATTATAGAATAAAACTAACTGTAAGTTGACGAAATGAATTTAAATATTACTTCTAATATAGTAAATAATTTGTTTCCATGAACATATTTCTGCATTTTAAAAATATTTTAATGATATTTGCTAATTCCTAAACTTGACACACTCCATTAAACTTTTCAAAATCTAAAACCATATTGTATAAAGCAATTGTCTATCTACTATTTTTTTAATCCCACTTGGGACTGATGCTGGTATTAAATAAGAAAAATAATCACTTTTATTTAAAAGCACATGCAGGGCCAGCGAGTTGGCACTTGCTGCTCAAGCTTGATGACCTGAGCTTATCTCCAAAGCCTGGATGGAAGGAGAGAAGTGAATCCCAGAAGTTGTCCTCTGACCTCCACTACTGCTCCCCGTCACCAGGCAAACACACACATGGGTACATGTGCGCATACACTAATAACATAGTTTTTAATTTAAAAGAGGGAGAAGCATGTACACAGTTGGTTCTTGATACTTGGCAGTTTTGCACCTGTAGTTTTAACTAAGTACAGTGTGTGTGTGTGTGTGTGTGTGTGTACATGTGTCATGTGGACATATGTATATGCATGTATGTGGAGGCTAGAGGTTGGTGTCAAGTGTCTTCCTCAGTCTCTGTCCACCTTATTCTTTGAAACAGGGTCTCTCACTCAGCCTGGAGCTCATTGATTCAGCTAGCCTGCCTGGCCAAAGAACTCCAGGGAACTGGCTGACCTATCATCCCCATTGTTACTTTTTATTTTTATTTTTATTTTTTTTTACAATTCCATTCACTTCTACATAACAGCCAGAGATTCCCTTGTTCTCTCCCTTCCTGCCCCCCATCCCTTTCCCCCATCCCAGCCCCCATTCCCACCTCTTCCAGGGCAAAGCCTCCCCTGAGGACTGAGATCGACCTGGTAGACTCAGTCCAGGCAGGTCCAGTCCCCTCCTCCCAGATTGAGCCAAGCGTCCCTGCATAAGTCCCAGGTTTCAAACAGCTAACTCATGCAATGAGCACAGGACCTGGGTACCACTGCCTAGATGCCTCCCAAACAGATCAAGCCAATCAACCGTCTCACCTATTCAGAGGGCCTGATCCAGTTGGGGGCCCCTCAGCCTTTGGTTCATAGTTCATGTGTTTCCATTCATTTGGCTATTTGTCCCTGTGCTTTATCCAACCTTAGTTTCAACAATTCTCGCTCATATAAACCCACATCTTTCTCGCTAATTAGACTCCCAGAGCTCCACCTGGGGTCTAGCCGTGGATGTCTGCATCCAGACTCCTCAGTCCTTGGATGGGGTTTCTGGCACAACTATTAGGGTGTTTGGCCATCCCATCACCAGAATAGGTCAGTCCTGGCTGTCTCTCGACCATTGCCAGCAGTCTATTGTGGGGGTATCTTTGTGGATTTCTGTGGGCCTCTTTAGCACTTTGTTTCTTTTATGTGAACCACCAATCCTAGCTTGTAGGTGTGGTTGGTGATCTGGAATCAGGCCCCTGTGCGTGTAGAACAGACACTTGACTAACCGCACTATTTTTCTAGCCACCCCTTCTCAGATCTTGGAAAAGAAATATGCCTGTGCTAATTAAACATGTGGAGACTTGCTTTCTTCTCAAACAGCGCAGATAATAACTATAGTGCAATTCTATAGCATTTTCGTTGCTTTAGGTAGATATAACCTAGAAAGGATTAAAAAAATGTGGGAGGAAGTGAGATGGCCACTCTTTGGTAGACTGTGTGATTAGCATGTGTGAAGATTGAGTTCAGTACCTAGCAGCAACAAGAGAAATAATACAAAACACATGGGAAGGTAATCTAAGTTCTATACAAACACTACATCACTCTGATGGGGAATTGGTATCCTTGAAGTTTATGTCTTGAGCTGGCCAATGTCTCATCCTGGAGCCAGTCTTTGACAGGAACAACTATTTTTTCCAAAGAATAATTTTGATTATTTTTAAACATATATTTATTGGGTTGGAGAGATGGCTCAGTCATTAGTAGTGCTCTTTCAGAAAACCTGAGTTTGATTCCCAGCACCTACAACAGGTGGTTCACAACTGCCTGTGCCTCCAGCTCCAGGGGATTCTGATGCCTCTCGCCCCTGCAAGCATGAACACTCACGTTCACATACTCACATGCAAACATATAGTTAAAAATGATAAAATTAAAAACCATGTATTTATTGAGGCCTCTTTTTTTGAAATAAGGTCTTGATTTGTAGTATAGGTTAGACTCAAGTTCACCATCCTCCTGCCTCAATCTCCCAATTGCTGAGATTATAGGCATGTGTTCCTATGCCTGGTGATGTGAATTTATGATGGAGGTCAGAAGTTAATTTTTTATTGATATTCTTAGGGAATCAATTTCAGGGTTGGTGTTAAGAAAAAGGAAAACAAGAAGGAGTCATTACAATGTTTCATGATGTACATTTTAAGATACATTCATTTCTCTATTGAGTTGAATTCCTAGCTGGCTTTATATTTTGGAAAATCTATATCTATTGAGCTTTTCTTCTGCAAAAAAGTTAATCATTTTAACCATTTAAAATGCATAATATATAATTCAGATGCTAGGAGATGGCTCAGCGTTTAAGATCCCTTGCTGCCCCTGCA